CACTGCTTGGATCCACACATACACCACGCTGATACATTATGACATCCTAGGTTATTGGGAAGAACTCAATATGCATGGAGGCCAACACCAACAAAAGAACTGGCAGCTGTGATTTCATATTTTTGGGAACAGATAATAATAATTAAAATAGGGAATAATGTGGTTCAATTGCCCAATGCCAAGGTGGAGTGCTTAGAATGTTCCCTTCATTATAACGAGGTTTGACAAGAGGCATTTCTTTGGCAGTGATGCCCAATGCATGTAAAGTAAATAATCTTAATTCTTTCTATAAAATAACTTTTTCTGTTTTGCTCCCCAGGATGGGAACACAGCTCTTCATGAAGCTTCTTGGCATGGATTCAGCCAATCAGCTAAGCTGCTTGTCAAAGCAGGAGCTAATGTCCTTGCCAGGAACAAGGTGAGCTACACACCAAAAGGAGCTTTTCAGTTCTTGTAGTTTGAGAAAAGACACACAATAAATAAGATATCAATTTTTCCTTATTGGTTGCTTTTGGCAATGACGTTTCCTGCGTGGTGGCAGTACATTTCTTTTGCTTTAATTGGCTGTGCCTCAGTTGTTCCTCACTAACACATTTTTAGAAGGGGATTATCTTGATCACTGACACAGTTACATTTCATTTTGGCTGAAAAGACAGTGTTGCACTCAAGGCAGAAAAAAATCCATTATAATAGGAATGTGAATTGGGGTAACAAGGAAATAGTGAAGGAACAGAAACAAATTTATCAGAACTGGGAGATTTAAGCACAAAAGTAGAAAAGCAAAAGAAAATTGACTTGAATAATTTACTTCTTGATGGAGCATTCTTATCCCTGTTTGTGAATGTGTTCCTGTTGTTTAATTAAAAGCAGGAGTACCATTGATTGTGGTTACTTGAGGAATCCCATAGCTTTGATTATATTCATCTTGCTCAGTTGTATATAATTCAACAGCTCTGTCAATGTTATTCTTTCACCTTTCCTCAACCTTTACAGTTAGTACACAACTATTCTCCCTTTGAAGCAAGTGTTTTTTGGAGCTCAGGAAAATAGAGATTTCTTGTTATTCTTATAATGCATTGATGCCTCATCTTATTATTAATATAATTGGAAATTGGCTTTTGTTGATAAAATTTTGAAAATGTTCCTATGTCATAAATAGAGAGAAAAGCATCTATGTATACCTGCTAGTAGATAGTGATACTATGTAGTATGAAATTTAAGTATCTACATTCCATTATTTTTAATTTATCAAATTTGATCCTAATAAGGTGAATGAAGATCACAATTTTTATCATGATTCCTTGCATCATACAATTTATCTAATCTTCACAGCAACAGCACAGTGTTGTTTGCATATACACATGTTCACATTCATGTGTTCAACCGCCATTAATATTCCAAGTAATCTTTATTTATAAGAGAGAGAAAGAGATAAAACTTTATTGTCATTTTTTACTGTGAGCACACTGGCCCACATTAAAAATGAAATTCTGTTGCCTGCTTTCAGAAGAAACTATATATCTACCCATTAGGGATGGGTTCCGGCAGTCACTACTGCTGGTTTGCTCATGGGCACGTTGTGCGCACACATGCACAGTGCAATAAACATTGTTCTGCACATGCACAGAAGGAAAAAACAAGGTGGTGGTGCCTATGACGTCACCCGGAGAACCGGTTTGGGGGCGTGGCAGGCCTGGGTCGCTGCTGGTGCCAGCGACCCAGGCTGCCAAACCACTATTGGTTTGGCCGAACGAGGCCGAACTGGTAGGAACTCACCACTGCTACCTATACACAAGACACAAATACACATGTATGTAGTTATACATTAAATAACAATCACATTCTTACCTTATTTTTCAGTCATTGTTGAAACATTTACCAGGAAAACATATTTTTCCCCTAAAGCAAATTCTAATTAAATAGCATTGGTATTCATTATTTCCCCCCTCCCCAATAGAAATACCGCTTTAAAAAATCCATACTTGTTTTTCTAATGATGATTAGTGTGTTCCCCTCTTCCTTTCTTAAGGCAGGTAACACTCCACTGCATTTGGCCTGCCAAAACAATCATTCTGAAAGTGTGCGTGTTCTATTGCTTGGAGGCTCTCGGACTGATAGCAAAAACAATGTGAGTATTACCAAATGTTCTGTGGTATTTAAAAAAAGTATTATTAAACCAAATGTATCGACTGCTTTGAATGTTCAGATACAGATGTTTCAGAATCCGCATTGAGTATCTGTGTTGTGATCCGTTCATTGTTTCATTATCTGTATAGCTGCAAGTATGTTGGTATTAGACATGAGTCATTTAAATAGGCATTTGAGATTTTAGTGGATCCATGCCAAAAGAACACATACCAATTATAAGCTTATTCTCTTGGAATGAGCATCAGAAATGAATCATCAATTGAATGGAGACAAATAACATATATTTCTTCAATTATGGATTTGGTGGAGATTTAAAGTCCTGCTCGGTACACTGAGCATAAAAGCAGCAATAAAGGAAAATATTTATAAGAAAACAACCAAGCTCAGAGAACACCAGGGACCCCTCATAAAAGGAGCACTTGCAACTAAAGGTGTCAGGTGGCTAGTTTGTGATTAGTAAAATATAAGCAAAGTATGCTATCATAACAGTGCAGCTACCAAGTAATTAGGCTATTAACATCTGAGGATAAGAACTCTCAATTGTCAGTAGCTGAATAATGTAGTGGTCAATATTTTGTGCATGTTGGCAGGGCCGGATTTAGATGAAAAGAGGCCCTAGGCTATTCCACTTATGAGGCCCTTTCACCTCCCATTTTTAAGTTTGTAAATTACATGAGAGACATCATTACTGTGATATATATCAATATATATCAATATATATCGCTGGCCTCCCGAC